CCCCCCCCCCCGGAGCCAGACCGATTAACTCTACATCTTATATCGATAAATTGTAGTAAACGCCATATGTACGAAGTCTAATTTACTCTAATTTATTATGCCCGATCCCATAAGCGACTGAACTTTAATTTAAATCGTGCTTAAATAAAGGTTGGTTTTCTGTCTCTGTCTGTCTGTCTTTAATATAAACAATCGTTCATTGTCGTAGTGAGTCGCCAAGCTGTAAGCAAAGCCACTCTTTTAAGACTTTTAATCTTACTTTACACAGCACTTTTCATTTAAAAATTTGCAACGAAAAGCAACAATTACGAACTACACTCAGCACTTTCCATTAGTTTGAAGCGTATATGTTTGCTTTCAAATTTCGAAGCAGTTACCTTTTGTGTTTCCAATTGGTTTCAAATTTCGCTCAATTTCGACTCAAAATGTGGAATTCTGTGGGCAAAATTGTCATAGACGCGCACAATAATGAATAATACACGAGCTTCTACCGACGCAATTTATCCAAACCTCAGGTCTATACTAGCGGAATACACTCACACTCGCTGACTCACCGGAACCGGAAATTGGCATACCAGTACGTACGATACACATTTTTAATATTTTGCCAACAACCCAAGGGATTTTCAGGTTGTCCAGTTGGAGAGACCGTTGAATAAGCTGCAACCCGCTGATCCACATGTGAGCGCATCTGGTGGGCGCAAGTTCAAGTCTTCAAAGCGAACCCTACGATACTGTGTTAAAAGCTCAACTAGCTTACGCCTTAGTTTACGTTCAGCCCTGCATCTGAGATATTCAGATACAACTTGTCATAGATTCGCAGCCACTCTATACAGCTGAAAAAAGTTGTGTATTAAGCATAAAGTGAGCACGAGGATAAGGTTTTGCTCACGTCTGTGAAGGGTGCTGGTGCTGGCTTTTCCCAGTTACAGAATAGTGTGAACACTTCTGAACAGGCCTGAATATATTCATCTTCACTTCACTCCTTAGAAATTTGTCACTCTTACTTGGCAACCTTACTTAGGAAAATTGCAAGCTTTATCAGTTTTCGTAGTTATGATTGCAAAAGAAACGTGTGACTTTTGCTAGTTATTTTCCAAATGATTGTAAATATCGATTTGATCTGATCATTTAACATCCACTGATGTCCTTCTTCTTCTTGCGGTGCCAGCGAGTCTCCTCTGGATCAAACCCCCTTTGCGCATGTCCCATTAAGGCCCAATTTGGTGTTTTGGCCATGTAGTCTAGTGCAGTAAAGTTTTCTGTTCCACTGCTTTCTTCATAACTGCACATCTACAGACAGAATAGAAAAGAAAATATGTTGATGGTGATAACAAATGCAGATGCTATCTGGCTATGAAGGTATTTCAGACTCCCTACGTTAGTTACAGAATTGGAGTTTCAAGCACAACCATTAATGCATTCCAAGGAAGGCACAGTAACAACTGATGCAGATATGCAGCATACAACTAATAATGACACCGATCTGCAGGCAGGAGATTCCAGGTTCTGTGCAGTGCGCCACATCCGACTGCTACAAGACTCGACACCACAGTTCATCTACATGTACCTTAACTGCTTCTTGACCAACAGAGTAGCATTATTTCTTCAATCTCGTAGGTCATCGTTACTGAGTTCTTTACATCAATCAAGTAACACATACCAGAAGAATTTGGCAATTCCTTTTAAGACATTTCTAACCTGTTTTCCTTTTATAAAAGGTACTAGAATCCTTTTTAATTATAAAGGATTTTCCATTTACTACAAGGTGTATACATTAAGGACTTACACGCTGATGGAATTTGGGATAATCAATCCATGTGTACCATCCATCGTCTTTCTTAAACTGCAAGTAATTTCAATACAGTAAGCTACAAAACAAACTAAAGTGGCTAGGCTCGATTTCCGCCGCTCTCACGGGTTCGATCTACGTTCCTCCCCGAGAGGTGCCTTCGGGAGCTCGGGCTCCTTTCCGAATCCCGAATAACGGCTGGCAATCAAGCCTACAGTGGCCTAATGGAAGGACGTTGGACACCCACCCGATCAAGGGGTCCAGGTCAAAGCACTGACCAAAGGCTGGACATAAGCTCTAGTGGTAGACCACTTGTTTATCGATGGAGACCCTCACTGTTTCACAAGTCTGGTCAAGGAAGCTATCCACATAACACTCTTTAACAAGAATAGTGGAATCGAGATCTTCGAAGCGTGGTTGCCGCAGTCAAAAACACCACTACAGGAAAATGGTACTCGTCCAAACATGACCCGCCTAGATTAGCTCAGCTATCCGCGGGCATGTTACAATTGTAATTTTAATTTGATAACAAATGAAATGTATGTATGTATATGTATGTATATGTATGTATGTATGTATGTATCTGTATGTATCTGTATGTATGTATGTATGTATGTATGTATCTGTATGTATGTATGTCTGTCTGTCTGTCTGTCTGGCTGGCTGGCTGGCTGTCTGTCTGTCTGTCTGTCTGTATGTATGTATGTATGTATGTATGTATGTGTGTGTGTATGTATGTATGGTACAACAGCAGTAACAACCTCATGCTGGAACAATGGAACATTGAAATGCACCAATCGCAGCCCACCTTTGTGATATCAATGGTACCGCACAACCTCATCACCCGATGAAGACAAGCAATAAACAGTGAAAATGCCAGGATCGACATCTCGCATGAAAAAATCGTTACACAAACGCAAACGATAAACTTTAATATTAGGAGAAAACAAATTCCTTACCTTCTTGTGAGCA